AAAGAGTATATTTCTAGCCAGGTGCCGGTGGCTTACACCTGTAATCCTAGCTACTAAGGAGGTTGAGATCTAAAGATCACAGTTCAAAGTCAGCCCGGGCAGAACAATCTATGAGACTCTTACCTCCATTAAACCACTAGAAAACCAGAAGTGGTGCTATGGCTCAAGCAGTAGGGTGCTGGCCTTGAGCTGAAGAGTGCAAGGACAGCACCCAAGCCCAGAGTTCAAGCCCCGCGACCAACAGCAACAAACAAAGAATACATTTCTTTTTGTTGTTGTTGTTGTTGTTCCTGGGGCTTGAACTTTGGACCTGGGCGCCATCTCTGAGCTCTTCAGCTCAAGGCAAGCACTCTACTACTTGAGCCTCCGGGCCACTTCTGGTTTTCTGGTGGCTAATTGGAGATAAGACTTTCCTGCCCATGCTGGCTTTGAACTGTAAGCCTCAGATCTCAGCCTCCTGAGTAGCTAGGCTTACAGGTGTGAGCCACCAGCACCTGGCCAAGAGTACATTTCTCTTTGGACAATGTCACCCTTTCTTTTGTTGTCTCCCATCTCACTTAAAAGTAGTATAGTTCATTTTCAACATCCACTTACTGCCTTTTGGTTAATTAATTGGAGATAAGAGTCTCATGGACTTTCCTATCCAGGCTGGCTTTGAACTGTGATCCTCAAATTTCAGCCTCCTGAATAGCTAGGATTACACGCATGAGCCATTGGTATCTGGCTTACATATATCTTTGTAGGCACACCGTATGTAAAGCTCAACACTGTAGAAATTACTGAACTCCCCAACCATGCAGACAACTGGTCAACCCATGATCTGGTGGCCACATACTCTTCATGTCCAAAAGGCAGATCCCCGCTCCTAAGAAAGCGGCTCAAAGAGACACGTTAAGGAAGGTATGCAGGAGAGATGGGATCTTGCCTGCATCACCCACAGTCCTGTTTGCTATTTCCCCAGGTGAATCTCCTCATCCCCCTGGCGTATTTGGTGTTCTGGGCCTTCCTGCTGGTCTTCAGCTTCATCTCAGAGCCCATGGTCTGTGGTGTCGGCATCATCATCATCCTCACAGGGGTACCCATTTTCTTCCTGGGTGTGTTCTGGAGAAGCAAACCAAAGTGTGTGCACAGACTCACAGGTGAGATGGACAGCTAGGCCTCGGGGCCTACGGCTTCAAGAGGGAATCTGTCCCCCAAGTAGGTTCTCCCCCAAACTAAGTGGATAACAGAACCCAACCCCACCCGCCACCCCCATCCTCCAATGCCTCTGAGATGTCGCTGTAGTGTCATGAACCCACCAGCAGAGGGCGCTGATGATCTCCACCTAAGGAGGTTCTCTCTCCCACATGGGGCCGCTCCTGTCCAGAAGCATCAGGCCCCTAAAGTCCACCTGTCTGTCTCTCTCTCTCCTCAGAGTCCATGACACGCTGGGGCCAGGAGTTGTGTTTCGTGGTGTACCCCCAAGGCTTGCCAGAGGAGGAGGAAAATGGCCCCATGGGTCAGCCCTCCCCACTCCCTGCCACCAACAAACCCTCCAAAACACAATGAGACATTTATAGAGACGGGAGGCGGCTGTCTCTGTTTACACGTTGTTTATTGAGGCGATGTTTTTTTTTCCGTGTATGTGTATGTGTGTGTGTGTGTGTGTGTGTGCAAAAATCCCCCCTCCCAGAAGAACAAAACAACCAACAAATAACAACAAAAAGAAAGATGCAGTTCTTTCTAGAGGCCCTGTTGTTTAGGAAGCCCGGCTGATATAAACAGGGATTCCTGCCTTAGCATTGTTACCCTGTTAGCTTTTTTTTCCCCCTCCCTTGAAAAAGGTCTAGAAATAAAACAGGGCTAGTTGTTGCTTGTGCTCAGGGGGATTGTGGGGGGAGTGGTTCTGAGTGACAGGCAGTCCTATGAAGCCTTGGTTACTGGGCAGGTGTCATGGGGTGGATTTGTCACTTGACCTAAGGCTGACTCAAATCTCAAAAGAGACAGGATAGGAAGCAGTGTGGTCTGCTACTCCCCCATCCCTCCCTGCCAGCCTGACCTCAGGCCTCTCAGATTTCCCAGATTTCCATCTGGGACGCAACAGCACCAATGCCCATGCCCAGCCTTGTCTGGGCCATGGGCTTACCACTGTCAGTTGGGACCTTGGTCTCTATGACCCAAGGACCTCACAGCTTGCAAGGAGACCCCCAAAGTCCTTTCCCCTGTTCACTCATTCCCTGCCCTGCCCATTAACATCTGAGATACACACACATACATACACACACACACACACACACAGAGACACCATCATAGCCAAAGGGCAAAGGGCACCAGCTAGGTCAACCTATGTTGGACAGAAGCCCTTCTTAGCCAAGATCTCTAGGGCTCAGTGTGCTCACTGTAAATGAGGGACCCCCCCCAACTCCCATATGTTCCTGTCACAGCTCATGACCCAGTTCTGTGGGGGCCCCAACCCCACAGGTTGATTAAAATGGGCAGCATGTCTCTCTTCTCTCTCTAGAAATGGATTCCAAGATTTGATTTGGGGGGAGTCACACGATGTGAGATTTCTACGCACATACCCTCAGACCCCCAAAGTACACACAGGACTTCCTCCAAAGACAAACTTGTCACCTTACATTCTTTCCCTGGCCAGCTCTGCAGACCTGTGCACCAGGCCGTACCCCTTAACTTGGGGCTCAGCGCGTACTGATCGTAGCTTTGCTGGCAGAGGGCAGCCAGCCCCTCCCTGGGCCACGGGGGGAGAACCCCTTCCCCCTCTCTCTGTAAGAAAGGACTCAGAGGCAGGGTAGAAATGACTGTGTATTCCCTGGTTCCAAAGCATGGCTGTGGCAGTCACCCACATGTCCGATGGGTCAGCAGACCAGGAGAGCATCATCGTCACTGGCCTCCGAAGTTGGGGAGCAGGGCGGTGGGGGGCTCCTGCAGACCCCCAATGACTCTGGTGAATGGGTGCTGCTGCTGCTGCTGCTGCTGCTTGTGGTAGTGGGAGCCTGGGGCTGGGGATCCCGGGCCAAGCAGGGCTCAGGAGATGTGTCCCCAGGGCCTGGGCTGTCAGTGACAGACTCCCTGGGGGTCTTTATGTCCTTGTCTGCAGGTGTACGCTCTGAGTCTTGTAAGCCTGAGAGTGAGGAGGGCCCCGAAGAGCCCACCTCTGCTGTATGGCCAGGGCCAATGGAAGGTCCACCCCCAGCTACCTGGGGGCTGCCTGTGTCCGTCTGGGGTGCAGGGGGATCCGGGGCGACCCCTGATGCTGGCTGGAGGAAGCCATCGCCCAGTACTGTCTGGGAGGTGCGGGCGGCCGTCAGCAGCGGGATCTGACCCCGAGGCGCCCGAGGCCTGTGGAAGAGCCGATTCCAGAGGCGGCCCAGCCTGCGTCGGGAGGGCCCCCTCCGAGAGGCGTGCCTTCGCATCTGCCGCCTCATGGCTGTGCGCAGGTTCTGTAGCACGGAAGCCTGCGGGTGCGGAGGGGGGGAGGGGGAGAGTGGCAGCTAGAGTCACTCAGGGGTCTGAGGTCAACCTGTGCCGCCTTCATCTGGCACGGTAGTCCCCCACCCCCTCCCCCCAGATCACTGCAAATGAGGCTTTTTCCTCGCTCCCTCCCGGACCAGCCTAGCCCTGAGGCTTCATGGTCCTTGAGCGTTCCTTGAACTCTGGCAGGAAGCCTGGCCCTGCAAGAGGGGAGGGGGTGTCACACACACAGCCCCCTCGGGGCTTACCTGGGATGCGCTATAGACAGGAAAGTCTTCCACGGGTGGAATGAGGCCCTGAGCGATGAGCTGACCGTAGGAGGGAGGTGCCTCCCGCCGCACAAACTCCGCCTCTAAGCGTGTCATCTGGGTCTCAAATGCCCTGAGGACAATGGACAGAAGGCGGGCGGAGGGGGGGGTTGTTATGATAGAGCTGTCCAGAATATACCACAGGACTCAGGGAACTCCTCCCCACCCCTCCATCCACACATTAAGAGATGACCAAACCAGGTGCCTGTGGCTCACACCTGTCATCCTAGCTACTCAAGAGGCTGAGATCTGAGGATCGCCATTGGAAGCCAGCCTAGGCAGGAGAGTGTGTGAGACTCTTCAGGCCAATGAACCATCAAAAAGCTAGAAGGGGAGGTGTGGCTCAAGTGGTAGAGTGATAGCCTTGAGTGAAAAAAAAAAAAACAAAAAACTAAGGGAGCCAGTACTGGTGACTCACACCTGTGATCCTCACCACTCAGGAGGCTGAGATCTGAGGATCATGATTCAAAGCCAGCCCAGGCAGGAAAGTCCGTGAGATGCTTATCTCCAATGAACCACCAGAAAATACTAAATGGAGCTGTGGCTCAAGTGTTAGAGTGCCAACTGTGAACACACTCAGGCCCTGAGTTCAAGCCTCACAACTGCACCCCCCAAAAGAAAGCTGAGGGATAGGGCTCAGGCCCTGAGTTCAAGCCACAGAACTGGCACAGATGTGCACATATACACAAGATGCCTAGTCCTCCAACAGGTACAAAAGCAATTATTTAAGATTTACATTGGGCAGGGACTGTGGCTTAGTGGTAAGAGTGCTTGCCCAGCATGCATGAAGCCCTGGGTTCAATTCCTTAGCACCACATATACAGAAAAAGCCAGAAGTGGAACTGTGGCTCAAGTGGCAGAGCAAAAAGAAGCTCAGGGACAATGCTCAGGCCCTGAGTTCAAGCCCCAGGAAGGGCCAAAAAAAAAAAATTGCTTGACCTAAGCCAGCCACTGGTGGTTCATGCCTGTCATCCTAGCTACTCAGAAGGCTGAGATCTGAGAATCACAGTTCAAAACCATCCCAGGCAGGAAAGTCCACGAGACTCTTATCTCCAATGAACCCATACAAAAGTGGGAAGTGGAGCTGTGGCTCAAGGTGGTAGAGCACTAGCCTTGAGCCCAACAACTCAGGAACAGTACCTGGATCCTGAGTTCAAGACCCAGGCCTGCCCTGACTGGTGATTTTTGCAGACCACCGCTGGGCACACAATAAGCCCAGGGCCCTCTGCCAGGACAAAACCACCCCCACGTGGCTGGTCCCCACCTGTATTCTTGAGTCCGCAGGGAGTAGAGCTTGAAGGCGCAGCCCAGAGCGATCACAAGCAATAGGCCACACACCAGGCTGCCTATGAGAGCGGCTGTGATGACCTTCCGGGGGACAGCAGCCAGGCAGCCGTGCTCATCGCTGCCATCCTGGCAATCCTCCTGGCCGTCACAGCGCCATGTCTCAAAGATACACAGGTTGGTACCACAGTGAAAGGTACCTGGCTGGCAAGAGAAGCAGTTTTTCTCATCGGCACCATCGGGGCAGCTTTTCTGGTTATTACAGCGGTCGGCAGGTGCATAACACAGCCCACTGCCACCTTCACAGGGATACTGATCAGGTGGACAAGCCGGGCATCCCTGTTCATCCCGGCCGCTGGCACAGTGCCACCAGCCATCACAGCGTTGTGGTTCCGAGAAACAGCCCTGATCGCCGGAGCCATCCTCCGACTCACTGCTGCCCCCACATGGCTGTTCCCAAGGCAGGCAATAGCCTTTGACTTGGTAGGTAGCATTGAAGCCGTGGCCGGCGCTGCGGGCGCGGGCGTGATAAGCCACAGTGAGCCGACCCTGCGCGGCCTCCAGGCTCACAGGCCGGTGGTTGCTACGGTAAGACAGGGTCTGAAGCAGGCGGTCCCCACGCTCACCCAGGCCTTCGTACACCTGCACGTAATCGTCGTAGCCCAGCCGAAGCTCCAGCTGCAGCAACACGCGCCGTGGGTCCTGCGTGTCCACCAGCCAGGTGCAGTGTAAATCTGAGGGCCCACGGGCGGCACCAAACAGGTCTGGCGAGGCGAAGGAGCCATAGAAACTACCCAGCCGCCGGCCACAGGCCAGGTCGGGACAGCCAGCCTCGTCAGAGCCGTCTCCGCAATCCTGAGTGCCATCACAGCGTCGCTCGGCCGGCAGGCAGCGTGTGGAGCGGGCCCCGCTGCAGGGGAAGGTGCCCCCGGGGCACAGGCTGCCCGGTGGCTCAGAGGCGGGCGCCGAGCAGTTGCCTTCGTCTGAGCCATCTCCGCACTCGTCCACGGTGTTACACTGCCAAGGGCCAGGCAGGCATTTCCCATTGTCACAGCGGAACTCATCTGCCTGGCAGGCCACCTGACCCAGCTTCCCTGGGGGTGGAGATGACAGAAAGGGGGCAAGAAGCAGTCAGGAGGAGGGCACACAAGACCTGGAACCCCAGAGCTACTCCCCCCACTCCACCCCTCCACCAATCCCAGCAGGGCCCTGGGCCATGGAGCTAATGGGATTTAGGGTCAGTTCTATCCTTGATCTGAGATTGGGGAAGGGGGGAGCGGAGGGGAGGAGTCTTTACTAAAGCCACACCCACCCATGAAATGTGAAATGGAGCTCAGTGACATAAGGAGGTTCTAATCTTGACAGTTCCACTGTCAGGCAAGGCTAGCACCAGTGGCTCACGCCTGTCATCCCAGCTACTCAGGAGACTGAGATCTGAGGATGGAGGTTCGAAGCCAGCCTAGGCAGGAAAGTCTGGGAGACTTA